GATGATTGGAAGCAGAATTTAAGATAGATTTGTAGATATCACTCATATTCAAATAATTATAAAAATTTAAAATCTTTAAAACAATGACATATATTAAGTTTAGAATCCACAATGTGTACTGCGATAGTCTGGCTTTCCTGAACTGTGCGGTACACTTATTAAAGAGACAGAAGCCTCAACATAAAAATATACAGAAAACCCACACATCAAGATCAGTATTTACATTTTGATTCTTACTGCCTACTAGAGCACAAACATAATCACAATGCTACACCACCTGGTTGAAGCTTTTCCTACTAGCAGAGAGAGTAAAGAAAAATAACAAAACACATCAAGGAAAGCCCTCAGAACTTGTGGCTATGCCAACTGAGCTTCATCAAATCCAGAGTTTCTCCATACTAGACAAAAAAGAGAACAACCACTTCACAAGCTCATGGCACAACACAGGAAAACAAACCCATCAGGACAGCATTCAGCAGTCCATCTGCATCTGAAAAACAAAGATCTTTTGAAGATAGCAAAGTTTACATTCTGAACAGAGGAACACTAGTTTGAAAGTACAGTCAAAGATGCCATCTATGATAAAACTGAATAGCCTTCTCTCAACAGAGGGGGGGGGGATATGACACCTTCTCTCTCCTGTTTCAGTCCTTTCAGCAACCCCACACCTATTTGCACTCTGATGTAGATAAACCCTCAAGTAACCAGGTGACTGCAAAAAGTATAACTCCTTTCGTTCCTCACCATTCAATCAGAACTGAAGAAACGTCTTGGGTAAGAATGTTTTTAAGGAAAAATCAAGAAAGTCTAGTTGCCTTTGGGACAATCATGACCTGGATGATTGAGAATATTCATAGGCAGTTGCCATTGCTTGTTCCAGCTTTAATAGTCCCCCCCCACCCTCTTCACATTTTTTTGTTGAGAACAGTCCAGCACAATTCCTCATCAATGATATAGTTGATGACTCAGTCAGGGATTAGGACTTGACCAACTCCTACTGGCCATTTTATGCTGCTGCAATCTTGCCCATTCTTTCTTGATCATTGGTTACAGTCTTTGTTGGCCATTTTGCCTTGAAGTGTGAAAGAGGCTGGATACCCTGCAAAGTCAAGAAGGATTGGCAGTGAAGGCAATGCATAGTATACTTTCCTGTGTCTCGTACCTGGAGCAAAGTATTTGAATGTTTGTTCGGTTGTGCCCTCTGTCAAGTACTATTCTATGTGTAAAATTCCACACTTGAAAACTTTTTATTTATGTACTGAGAAAGCTGACATTGGTGAAATAATGATATCCATTAAGCTAAGCTATGGGATGGTCTTTACTTAAGGTTGTAAATATGTGTTTCCATTTGGAGACAAATTCTTCCAGGGGTCCAATTGACAATGCTGCTGTAATATAAATAATTTGTTCCTCTTTGAAGCTGTCCATGTTCAACAGGTAATGACTAATACATTAGACAGGCAGTCCATTTTTATGGACTTTATATTTAAGTAGAAGTATTTTCAAGGCTTTTGTGGTTTCACATTGAGCAAGATTTAATGTTTAATCACAGTGTATGAATTTGCCTTGATGTATTCTGCTAGTAAGTATTCTGCTGGTACCGCTATTTGTTTTTCCTAAGACTTTTGCACTTTAAAAGAGATTTTATACTATGAAAATCAGCAATTGTAGTTGTTTCTTACATAATTGAGCTATAATTTATTTTCTTTTTTAAAAAAAATAGAACAATCAGTGCAGATGGTTGACATAAGAACAATATTGTTATATAAATTAATAAAGGGATTTCTTCAGCTGCGTCCCTAAATAGATAGTTTTGTAATAGAGTATTTGTTGTTAGCACACTATTTTCAAGTTCCTGTAAACTTAGGAATACTATTTTCCCTAGAATTCCATTTGGAGTTTAGCATGCTGTTTATATTACAAAAGCAGAGTAGATTTTATATGTGCTATTTCAATTTGCCATCCTAAGATATAAGACAGTAAAATTTAAAGGATTGTAGTTTTATATTTTTATCTATTTGCATTCTATTTTAATGCTTAGCTAGAATCTTATATACACTGTATGGATACAGTGGTCTTCTGAGATGTTTTGCTTGCTGTTGCAACTAGAGTTTAAAAAGTATTTTTTTAAAGCTTAATTGTTTGAGAAGAGCTCCGAATAAGTGATTCTTTGGAAGTGCTAGGGTCTTGTTCCTTGCATGTGTTTACATATTTATCTTATATCTTACGGTATAAAATGATCTTCTAAATCTGGCAGTGTTATGTTCTGATGCTTGTTTATTTGGTGCAATCCCTTACAAATTACCCCACAATGCACTTTAATGCAAATCTAGTCTTCACTTTAAATTTGACTTCTGAATTAAATGTTTTAAAAGTTGTTCACCAATGAAGAATGGGAACTTGCAAGTGCAGAAAGTTTAAAGATTTGCTTGGGGTTAGATTAATTAAACTATCTAGCTTAAGTTAGACATATTAACATGACCTACAAATGAAAACCTATTTTCTGTTTTCTATAATTTGATCAGACTAGAATGTATCTGTTCTCAAATACTTTATAGCAATAGCCATACATGGAAACATTTTGAATTTATATAGTCTAGCAGAGTGGTCAGCGAACGTTTTTTGTAAATGGCTATATCTGTCTCCCACAGTTATTGGCTACAAGCTGAATACATTGACATATAGTAGAAATACACCAAGGGGAGGAGGAGTGGGATAGAAGGAAGCGGGGTAGATAGGGCAGGAGGGAGAATGGGAGGGAGGGTGAGAAGGAAGGGAGGGAGTGGACTGGGAGAGAGGAGTGGT